CACAAAAACAATTTATTTAGTTGCTAATTGGGAGTGTTTTCACATAATGCTATACAGTTAAATTCGATTTCTATTTTAGCGTGATTAATATAAAACACATTTAGAGTATTTGTTATATTAAATACTGTAAACTATACCATAAGATATGTAAAAATACAAACAACAACAACAAACAAAATATTGGAGGAACTGCGGAGATGGATTTACTAACATTTTAATAATTTAAATTAGTTTAATTCATTAGCAATTATTTAAACCATACAAAATTATAATTAATATTTATTAAGACATATTTTATTAATTTATATTTATATAAATGTTTACATTTTATTTCCTTGAGTTTGCATTAAAATAACCGCATAATTCAATATGAATGTTGTCATCTATAATTAAATACAATATAACTTATATAAATGAGATGTTAAAAATAATTAAATTTACGGCAATTAATGTCGATTTATTAAGTCTAGCAAAGCCTCCAATAGTGAACCCAAACGAACGCGTATTTCGTACGACATTCGCAAACATAAACCACTCGTGATATTCAGTGCTCGACAACTGATCGGTGTTTATATCGTCTAAAACCGTCACAATATCTAAACATTTAGCCCAAACCCGACCGCATATAAAACACGATGCAATCAATTGACAATTGTATAGTATATGAAATACTAGTTATTGCTAAAATTATAGCATAAGTTGCAATTAGAGGTACGTCTTTAACTTGGGTAATAATTAATATGAAAAACATTATATAATATATTGTGGTTATAACATTAAATACAGATAATATTGACAATTTTGCATCTATTTGGTTGATTACATTATTAATTGTAAAAAACATGCTTTTATAATAACGTAAGTTAGACGTGACAAAATTACCAGGTGTATCTATAAACATAATAATTGTTTAATTAACTATTATTTATATTAAATTATTTTGATTTAATTTTAATTATATAAAAATAATTATATAATTTTACTAACTTTTGTGTTGAGCTACTTTATTTTTCATTAAGTTGCATAATTGATTAAGTAAATTACAGCAATATACTGAAATGAGCCAGGTGATAGTTGGACACATCCAACCCATATACAAAGTAAGTGCAACTTCAATATTGCCAAAAATGATAAATAAATTATCACTAAATAGTATAATATTTCTGGCGCATTGTGCAAATACAATAATATTGATATCACAAATGCTATGTATCCGTAATATCGCCAAAATTGGTTAATGTAGATTTGTCCCTGATTATTAAAGTCTAATCCACCATATGTTAATCCTGTTAGCCTATTAAACCATAATAGTATCATTGCTAGTAAATTAAAATGTTTATTTAAAATAAGCATTTTAAATACTAAAACTACAAAGTGTTATTTAAAATAAGATTATGCCTCTATTATTAATATACAATAATATACTTTCTTAATAAAGTAATTAATTTAGATCTTTGTAAGAACCTTGTAGGAAAGTATTATACAATACTATGTTTACATGTATATGAAAATATTTTTGTGTACAAAGAATAATGTAAATAATTTACGTATAGTACATTTCTTAATTAAAAAGTGTTTGTTGTAAAATAAAATACATATGTAGATCTATAATATATTTTTTGTTATGTACTTAAACTGTACAAAGGTCACTTAATTACATTATAATTATTTAGTCAAGTTTTCTATATTAATAGATGGTTGCAGATTTAGTAAAAAAAACTTCATATTAATTTAGATCAATAATATTTTTAATATCAAAACATAAATTTAATATAAGTAATAAAATAATTAATTTATATAAACTAAATTATTTGAATATAGTCAAGTGATGAAAAGGACTACCATATAACAAACTATTGATTTTATATAACAAAATGAACTAACTTATGTATTTAATGTAATGTATATTGCCGTTTTATGTTTATGAAACTTCTGACATTAACAATTTACATTTGTATAAATAAAAAATACATTTAATACATTATTTATTCTATGAGTATAAATAAATATTATACAAACATCAATTTAATTACAAAAAATAAATAATATTATATTTAATGTAACAAACAAGTTTCTATAAACTAGCATATACAAGTTATAAATCAAAACATATTAAAATGGCCTACAATCTAGATTCAATGTTCTTACCAATTGCTAGGTTCCTTTTATACTTATTTAAAGGGACAACAATAACATTTGGTGGGCTGTCTATAAATGCTGATGATCGCATTTATGTTAATAAGAAATGGAAATATATTGGTTATATAATCACCTTTGTGACCATTACGGTAACAGTTATCATACTTATTTATACTGCAATCATAGACCATGATGGCAAACTATTTGGCGAACTACCCTTCTACGTTCTTGCATTATATGATTGCCTTAACCTATTACAACGTTTACAGCGTGTATATCTTATATACTACTTGAATTGCTATGGCTATGAGTTATTTTTGACATTCATTGATAACCTGGGCAAATATCTCAAAGATTTACCAAAATTAAACGTAAAGATAATAGTAATTATAATTGCTTGGCTAGCACATTCAATGTTAATATGCGCTGTAAGCATTTATATATGCATGTCGGTCAATCGTCTGGTATACCATCTTACTATAATTGAAACCAACTTACTATTTAGCCTATCGTGGATAGTGCCCAGTATTGTATGCATTATGTCTATATATTGTTGTCAATTATTGGATGTTATTATTAAAAAATTAAATTCTTTACAAGGTAATTCATTGTTATTGTTGGTAAAACTATAAACTATAATATTTATATGTAAATAATAATTTAATTATTTGATCATTAGTGTACCCCTAACAACAAAAATTATTTATATATTTATTATGCTTAACAAAACAATTTGAAAATAATGATTTAATGAAACATTTTTCAGGTAATCAAAAAACAAAATCAGAAAAATTAATCACTGATTGCAAACATATAGTAATTAAAATTGTAAACACAATCTCTTCATTGGACCGCATGACAGCCACCTATCAAGTAATCAATGCCATCGCAACCGTATTCACAGCAATGATGGCTATATTTACAATAACCAGAGCCGGTGAATATGACGTGAAGGGTGGCATGAAAATGATCATGATGTTTGCCAGCGTTTCATACCCGGTACAATTTATTGTCACGTGTCTTATATGCGGTTCAGTTGGCGATCGTATGTTTGAATTGAACAAAACGATAGACTGTATTAATGTCAGCGATTTGTCTGATACCGGGTATAAGGAATTGAATATGTTTTCAAACTTCATGCGAACTATAAAGACATCTGGCTTTACTATCGGTGGTTACGCTACTTTTGATAGACACACACTTATAACAGTAATAAAACTTTACTATTTTAATTGTACAAATGTATTATATTTTATTTTGTCTTTTTGTAGATTTTTACATTCTTCCTAAACTATACGGTAATTCTACTTCAAACACGTTAATGAACATAGGCTGTGTTGAAAGATTAAATTTTATTTTAAAATATTTTACTTTTAAACAAACTGTAACAATTTATCAAAATAAAAACTAACAAGCAAGTGGATAGACAAGTAAGAAAGAATGGAAGAATTGTTATCAAATTTATATTAATTAAATACATCCTGATATTTAGTATGTTTTGATTTTTGTTTTAATGTTTAATGTTTTAATTAACTAGTTTAGCTATATATTTTTTGTGCTTTCGAATAACTAGCTATTAAATAAGCAACATTTTACACTAGATGTATGTATTGCTACACTTTGCTCATATTTATCTGTCAAATAAAAATAGGTTATAAAAACAATTGTGTTTTTTCTATTTTTAATTAAATCTATTTAATTAATGTTAATATAAACAATGTAGTTTATGTAAATGTTTAATATATTCATTATGAGTGAATAAATAAAATATATTTTACTTATCATAAATATTATTTGCAAACATAAAATTAATTTATCATAAATTGTATTTCAAACATCATAATATATTATACAGTCCACTATCGTTGCAAAACTACAAAACACATTAAAATGGCCTATCATCTAGATTCAATATTTTTACCAATTGCAAAGTTATTTTTAATTCAATCTAAAATGATCTCAATAACATTTGGTGGACTTTCTATAAATAAAAATGGCCAGATTTTTGTTAGTAACTTATGGAAATACATTGGTTACTTATACTTCATTTTAGGTATGGTTGGACAGTTTATGATATTAATCTATACATTGATACTGGGCTATGATGGTAAACTATTTGGCGATTTACCTACCTTTATTTTTGCACTATATGCCAGTGTAAATCTTTTGCAGCGTTCACAACGTTTGTATATTATATATTATTTGAATCGATACGGCTATGATTTGTTTGCAATATTTATCGGTAATCTTGGTGAAGAACTCAAATATTTACCAAGATTTAGTGGTAAAATTATAGCAATTCATGTGGCCTCGTTTATACATGGAATTACGATTGGTGCTATTAATATTTATATGCTAATCGGGGTCAATCGTCTGGTATACATACTTACAATTCTGGAAACCAACTTGCTATTCAGTCTATTATGGATCATTCCTAGTATTATTTGTATCATGTCATTATACTGTTGTCAACTATTGGATACTATTATCTGTCAACTTAAGGGTTTACATGGTCAAGGTAATTATAAATTTAGTTACTACATAATATATTTTACCACATACAAGTTAAAAATTTACAGATCTTGTGCAGACCCCCATATCTGGGATTTTAATAGATATTTTATAAGCTGTGATCAATGCTCAAGATATAATTACCTAAATTATTTAAAATTATTTAAATTAAATAATTATTTAATTACCTTAAGATTATTTGTTAAGTTTAAATATCCATGTTTTTAATACTTACTTAATAAATTAATTTTACTTCAGGGAATCAAGTAATAAAATCCGGTAAAATCCTCATTGGATGTAAACGTGTAACGCTTAAAATTGTGACCACAATCGATGAGTTGGACTGTAGGCTAAAGGGTTTCCACACCATCAATGCCATCGCAACAATATTTACAGCTATGATGGCAATTGTTACTATATTCAGGTCGGGTGACTATCACATCAAGGGCGGGTTGGATATTATCCTGATAATTGCCAGCGTCTCCTATCCCATACAATTTGTCGCCACATGTTTTATATGCGGTTCAGTTGGCGATCGTATGCATGCCTTGAACAAGGCTTTAGACAGCATTAATGTCATCGATTTGTCCGATAGTGGCTATAAAGAGTGGCACATGTTTTCAAACCTAATGCGAGCAATAAGGACATCTGGCTTTACTATCGGTGGTTACGCTACGTTCAATAGACACACACTTATAACGGTAATAATTATACGAATTAAATAATTTTAACCTAACGTAGATAATTAATTTGCATTTCTAATTTTAACATTTTAGATTTTTACATTCTTTCTAAACTATACTGTGATCCTCCTTCAAACACGTTAATTATGTTTATTTATTTTTTACTGAAAATGGTAAATTCAATTGTATATTTATTTTTAATTATAATATAAATTTTATATATTGTATTGTACAATGTTATTTATTTATTATACCAACACTACGTTAGAAAAAACTATATTAATTGGAATTTTTATAATTATGTTGAATATTCTCTAAATTCTTGTATTGTTTGTGTAAAATTTTATTTATTATTTGTGCCATAAATTTATAATGAGCAATTTAACAAGTTATAAAAATTTATTACAATTAAAAATTAAATACTATCAATATACCTAACTATGTACCAACTTAAAACACTTTAATTAAACCGAGATTATGTAAAAATATTAGTTTATTAGTAAAATTATATTAATTTTTAAACATGTTGTTTTAATATGCAAGCATAATAGTTAACATGGATAACTATAAATTAGGTTTAATCAACTGTTATTATGAATTAAAAATACGAATTATAAATATAATTTAATTAATTTTAATTTATTATGGAACCCACATCTTATGCTTAAATTTATTATTTATGATAAATGACAACGATATTATTACAAATGTTTAATTAGATTGTAAATGGATTAATAAATTAAAGCAATTTATAAAATTATAATTAATTCGTAATGAATATTAATTTATACTTATTATTTTGTCCATAACAGATTATAAAATAAATTAAATTAACTTTTTTCTATTTGCTATGCTTACTTTTAACAATTTTTATTTAGTAATTAATTATAAAATTTTTACAACAAAATAAAGCCCAATTAAACTACATAAATATCATCTAAACAATAAATTTTTTAATTTATAAGTCATAAAAGGGTTTGCATTAAAACAATAAATAATAAAATAGGAATTAAGATTAATAAATTGAGTGTATATTTGTCTAGACATTTTGCAATCTTTATTTAAATTTTTTAAAAGTTATAACTTAATGGAAACTACGCTTAAATAAAAATATACTTAACAGAAATGTTATAACAATAAGAACACAATTTAATAAATAACCATGGTAAACATCGGGCTGCGTAAATGTCCAACCTTTCACCATTATATTACGAAATGATTGTATTGGGATTGTTATTGGACTGGTGTATGATATGAACCGATACAACGGGTGTATGGTCTCAATGGGCCAAACGACACCCGATATGGTTAACGCCGCACACATTATACTGAAGGTAGCAACCTAGCAACATTATAATACAAATTATGATTAAATAATAAGTAAATATGTTTGTTAATATTATAAATTTGTTATTTAATAATATATTTAGTGTGGTAAAACACAATTGAGCATGTTTTACTAAATAATTATAAAGTTAATAAGTTAAAATAATTATTATTAACTTTACTTTGAAACTCAAAGTATTTAATACTATACATTATTAATACGTAAATGTATATTATTTATAATTATTCAAGCATTAATAAATAAAATATAATGATTAATAAATTTACCACTACGGAAATGGGGCCGGCCAGAATAATAGCGAGTAATAAACCGGTAAAAATTCCCACTAAATTCTCGATGAATAAAAACAGGAATATTTCCCAATAACTTCCCGATTGTTGAACGGCAAACACCACAAACACAAATATCATAGAGACTAACACTTGACCGACACTAATGATACCATTGATGAGTATATGGGCGCCCATATACTCGTACTCATTCACGCCGGACACAAACACCCGGTTCATTACGTTTGTCGATTTGTCGTTTACCATGATGAACGCCGACAAAATCATACCCCATATAAACTCCATAAATATAAACAATTGCGGTCCGACAAACATAAACGTGACACCCACTTTGCTCAACTCGCCGTTAAACACCTCGACAATGTTTATGGTAGATAATTGCTCATTCATTTTTGGCTTATTTAACATTAGGCCTAATTTGTCTATGAAAGTATGATATCCATCTAGTAGATATTTGATAGCCATATAACCAGTATGTATTTCTGATTACAATGAAACAACAATTAAAGCACAAAAAATAATTAGTTCATTAAATATTTACTCCAATGCTCAGCACTGGTATAAATATTTACTTGAAAGGTCTATATAGAGATGAATAACGCTATTTTCAATGGACTCATCGCTCGCGTCAAACATTTCGGTCACTCGTGTCTCAAAATTGTCCGAAAACTTGTCCCTAAATTCAAACACCAAATAATTGTTGCCATTTATAACCGACTGAACGGCGCTATCAATCGACGAGTAATGAGATAATTGCATGTTATTTAAATCAATTGAATCAATAAATAAATGGGATAATGAAGTTTGATTATCATCAATCAGATCGCCATTATATACGCCAACCGGTATGTGCCTAATGTCTTGGGTTATTATCATGTTCAGCGCAATTATACCAATAATGGTTAGGGCATAATAGGCGCACACAAATAGCGGCTTCCTTTTAATAATAATTGTTTGCTTTATTAGCATTGCTTTCATTCGTTGCCAATCAATGAACGCATTGTTATTGTAATTAATGTTTTCCTCAATTGGAGTTAAAATGTCATTATTGGTTAAATTAATGTTTGTATTGCCCGAGCATTTTGTATCTTTTCGTAAAGTAACGGTGTTTTCCTTTGAGTGACACAACTGTAGGAACACGTCCTCCAGTGTCGGGCACTCGTATTCATCCATCAATTGTTGGGGATTTGATTGTCTCAATACAGCGCCGGATATCATAAAAGCCACGTTATGTGCACTCCGGGCCTCTTCTATATAATGTGTTGTT